AGCCAATGAAGGAATAATCAACGTGCTTGTCGCCAGTGTGTTTTTAACGTACTGCTCTATGAGTGACATTTTAAGAGAGGCAGCCTGCCCCGCAACGGAAGATGTCAGTTGTTTGTCGGTCGTTTCCTTCGTGGATACAACGAGAGAGTCGTCGCTGCGTTGGAGCAATGACTCCGGTTGGGATGTGAGATGTGACACGATGGCATCCACCTTGCGCAATCGCCATAATTCCGTCTCAAACGGCATTGTATTGAATGTAAGTGACATTAGCTGATTTCCAGGGGCGTGCGACAGGATATAGTGCCGTATAGTCACTGAGCCGACAAGTGAAAAGGCAACACATCCGATGAGTGTAAAAAACACAACAAGGACCACAATAAATATGGCAGCGGAAGCCAAAAACGTACTTTTAAACATCCTCAAGGCAATTTGATGCCAAACGCCAAGCAGTTCTCGGAAATCATGCATACGACTCAACACATATTCCTTACAAGACACACCGCAGTCAAGGAGAAACACATAGAGCTCATCCATGCCCGGCGCATCCAGTACACACAATCAAAACCACCAAAAACTAAAGAAAAAATGTAAGGAAAAAATAAAAAAGAAAAAGAAAAATAAGAAACATCACTAAACAAATAAATAAATAAATAAATGGCATCAAAAAAAAAAAAAAAAAAAAAGAAGAGGCACTAGAGGACTACCGCAAATAAACGCTGATTATCAGGAAACTGTGTGAAGGGCCAAAAGCCGCTCTATATCTGTCTCAGACACGTGTGGATGAGAAATACATGCATGGCAATATACACGCAGTGTGTTGGGGGAAATGTCCACAAGATCGTTCTTCCAGTGCGCAATAAGAATCTCCTTCATCGCAATGCAAGAAAGCATCCCCTGCAGGAGATGACGGGAAGCAGTCCATCGTTCCGTTTCGGATTTCCCATTCGATGTTTGAGAACAGAGACATGCCACGCCCTCCCGGTAGACACGATGCTCTTCATCCAATAGTGCATGGATGAGGTCAAAGTCGGCTTGTATCTCGGAGAGCAGATGAGTTTCAACAATAACATCGTTCTTCTGTCGCAATTGAGTGTTTTTCGCCAATCGGAAGAGAACAGCACGCCAGCGTGAAGGCAGCACCTCCAAATAGTGCTGCCGAACCCTCTCATGGAGGTAAACACGAGGATCACAGGCAGAGGGAGACGGAGGAGCCATTACACAAAAGACACTCACTCACTCCCGCCCCTCCCCCCTCTTTTTTTGTTCTTTTCGTGCTTC